AGTAAGAGGGAAGTTTAAGCGTTACACCTAATGAATCCCCCGCCCCCTCATCCAGTAGAAAACAAAAATTATTAAAAAAAAAAAAAAAGAAATAATTTTTAATATTAAAAAACTCATCTTTCTTTAAATTGCACAAACATTTTTTTTTTAAAAGCCCAATTACCAGTTGTTTAATACGAAACTCAACAGTTTACGCACAAACTAACGTTTGAATAATCTCGATCTTGTAGTGTACAAGAGAAAAATATCAATGATGTATGCTTGATTCTATCCTGGAGAAAACATTAGCAACTGCCACTTTCTTTAGTTTCTACTGATTACATATACTACCATCTAAGTATCTAACAAAGACTTGATGTTATTACTAATATTACTATAATGACTAGGACATCATCACTTCCTTTGCTTCATTAGCTACCTTGAAAACCTCTTACATTAATTAATTTAAATTAGCTCCTAAGTTTTCCTCAAAAAAAAAAAAAAAAAGCTCCTAAGGTAACAACTACATAGTAATTAACCTAAATATCTCTAGCTATCTTGGCTTTCACTAGTGGGGAGATTTCACCATGAAACCAGTTGAAGACTAAACAAAAAAGAAACTTAGTGTTAATTAATTTTAATTTAGATACTCATCTTGTGTTTCAATTAATATGTTAAATTTTAAACAAATCAATTTTGCTCCTAAAAAAACCCATTATTATTCAACCTAGCTACATAACAAGTACCGAATATCATGTCTAACCTATATGTGAAGATATATAGCATATAATTCATGTAATATATTACTTTTAAATTAAATTTTTGTCTTATTTCCTCACACGTGAAATTTTCACATAATGCTGTTTTTGTGGTCAACACATATCGATCCATCATTTGGTTAAAGATATACACAAATCAATTAGTTAAATGTTTCATTTTAAGTCAAACTGAAGACAGCGAAAATTTATGGTCAGCCCTTTACCTTACTGACAATAAGAGTATTAATCATTCAACTTACAATATAAAAATTTTAACTTATCATCTTTTTAACCTAAATGAAAAAACCTAAAATGAATGGCGACATTGTATGCTCAATACAATTCCGTTATCTATTGTTATGTCAGCACTAACATTGCAATTCCTCACCATCATGACTACTACTGTGTCTATGACACAGTTTTCTACTTTTATTAGATCTTGTACAATTGGACTTAATTTGAAAATATGACTTAGACCATTTACTATAAGTAGGGTCATGGGCTTAAGTCTCCATAATATCAATTCGGAATCATATGTAACTTGTATTTAAAATTATCCAAACCTAATTGAATTGAGTCAATTCGGAGTGATCTAATTAAAGTTAATTAATTTTTTTAAATTTAAAATTTTGATTAATCATACTTTTAATTTTAATTTTTAAGTATAAAAAAAATTAAATACTATAAAATGATTGCTATTTATTAGATTATTAGTATTAATATTAATTTGAAAGATTTTTTTAACCAAAAAAATTAATTAATATTAAATTTTTTAAAGAAATATAGAGAGAATGTTAAAAGTTTTAATTTTTAATTTTAATTTTTAATAAGTTGAGTCCACTTGATCCAATTTGAGATTTGTGTGGGTAAATCATGAGTTTATTCTTCTAACCAAAAATCCAAAATGACCAAAATTGATAAATCCAAAATTTGAGATGACTCAATTTAAACTTATCTAATTCGTTTTGTTTGTCAAATCTAATTTTTATTATCCATAATAACAGTCCATGATGACAAGAAATTGCTACATTAGTGCTAACATGGCAATGGTTAAAGGATATTTAACGAATACATAAAACTATCATTCATTTTGAGTTTTTTTATTTAGGTTAAAAAGATGGGAGGGTAGAACTTTTATATTGAAAATTGAGGGACTGACGAATTTATACTCAATAAAGTTGAGAGCTGGCGATAGATTTTCGCCAACAAAAGATTATATATCGCCGCCGCCTTTTGTCCTAATGTGCCAACACGCCACAGGTAGCTAGAGCGAACTTTTTGTTGAAGTTTAACCCGAAAAATGGGGAAATGCTTGAACACCAAGAAAAATGTTAAGATTATTAATATTGTAAAATATTATTATTAAAAATATTGATTATATTTTATTTAATTGATAAAAATAATTATTAATTATTAATTATTAAAATAACTAATATTTATTAATTAATAAATTAATATTTTTAAATACCATTTGAAAATGAAAACTAAAATTTTAGTAATCTTAACATTTTTTATAGTGACAATAATCACATCCCACAATATAAGATGCATCTTTTCTCCAAGTTGGCCATATGTCTCCTTCTATAATTTAACATAAAAATATCAACAAACTAACTTAACAATAATATGCCCTTAGTATAAATAAGAGATTTTGAATACAAATCGCATGGTATGCAAGTGAATTAAGTTAATAGTAAGTGAAAGTTGTCTTATACTATGTAATTCAAAATTAAAAAAAAAAGGAAAAGAAAAAAAAAAAAAAAGAAGAAAGTGACTCTCTTAGCCGTTTACTTTTGGTACACATGCATCTTTGCAACTTCACCTTTCCCTGCTTATTGATATATTCAAAATTAACATCATTCTAAACACACAATATCAACAATTACATGAGAGCAATTCGATCAAACTTATTTCAATATATGGAAGGAATTGAAATTCAATGTATGCATCATGCATGCAGCAGCGAGTTGATATATTCTACAAACCTGGCTAGCTAGTTTTTAATTCCTGTGACGAGGAGAGCCACTACCAGGGAGCCCTGATTTCAGCAGCAACCCGGCAGCCATGCAGACTAAAGGAACAGCGCCCACAGCTTGCATGAACCACCACGTCATCCTCAATTTCTATTACTGTTACAGGTTGTTCTTCACAAGAACCTGGGGGGATAATCCGCGGGGTTACTTCATGTGGTTCAGTACCATCTACTACTTCCGGCTTCTTTTTTTTTTTTCTTTGCTAAATAAAAGAGACCAACGAGCAGAAATGCAAGGAAAAAGGTGCCAGCAAGGGAAACACACACGGCGATGATGATAATCCGGTTGCTTCCTGGTGGTGGTGACGCTATTACTGGGGATGGTGGATCTGACAGTTTAGGTGGCGGCGCCTTATTACTTGGACCAGGACTAGAAGGAACTTTTGGTTTTGGGGACGGAGGGTAATAGGATAGTGTTGGTGGCGGCGGCAGCTCACACTTGGGAGGTGAAGATTTTGGTGGGTGGGTAGCAGGGATTGGCGGAGGGAGCACAGGGGTGCATGGAGGGGAAGGCGGAGGTGGCACAGGGGTGCAAGGAGGAGGTGGTGATGGTGGCGGCGGAGAATAGTGTGGATAAGCCATTTTATTTGTAGCTCCAAAGAAGCGGCATAGAGGGGGGAACTGCACAACTTAGTTTATGGTTGAAGTTATAAACCCTAATTTCAAGTTGTATGTATATATGTTTTTCATTTTTTCTTGGTGACAGCAAGCAAGAGTTATATTGATCTATTAACTAACTTGATTTAATTAAAAAAATATTAAACACGTTTTGCAGCCAAATTAGTGGTACAGTGGTAGACGATGTTATTCGTTGCAATTCACGTGATGAAAAGAGCAGTACCAGAAATTTTAAACTTTCAATCTAATCGACTCTAACGAACCAAATTGCGTATTTGATTTGTCAATATACATGGGATTAGGGTAACATTGTTTCTTGAATTAAAACCAGTTTGAAAGTAACTGGTCCG